ATTTCTATGGGGTGTTGCCAACTATGTAGAGGAGGATTATAAACTCAAGGTACGCTGGAAGCAGTCTAGCTAATTTATTTGAAGTCCTCTATTTATTTGGGGAGAAAACCAGATATTTCATGCTCTGATGTTTATTTTCTTTCTTACAAAAGAAACCATTATCTTGTTTTAACTCTCTGGCAGAAAGAGCTCTTGAATATAGCTGGCCCCAGTCTCTGGGGTTTGTTGCTGCTTCTGTTCTTGCTCACAGTCGAAAATGGTTTTCTTCTCTGTTTTACAATGCCAGTTATCTCCAGTTGGAACAGCCTATTCTCTCTGGCCCACACACTGCAATGCTAATCACCCTGGGGTTTAAGTTCCCCCTCTCACTTTTGGCAGGGGTAGGGATGGGGGTTGGGACACGTGGAAAAGAGGCTGAATCAGAGCAGTTCAGTTTCTGTCCACTCAGCAGTCTCTCACCCCTTTTTAAAGCATTTGCTTTTCTATTTGGGGAGGATGAAGTTCCTGTGTTTGAGCCTGGGAGGAGGGGAACTTGGCAATAACCTTCCATGTCACAAAACCGTGCTTCCTCTGACTCTCACATTCAGAGACATTGTGCGAGACATTAACCCACATTCCATGTGAAAATGCACATGTTCCTGGCTCCTCATGGTTGCACTTCTGCTTGGAATCTCCCAGAAAAAGAAGGGGGATCAAAACTTGGCTGTGTTTTTCTGGCACTCAGGAACTGCAGCAGGTGCCCCAAGAGCACCATGTTCAGACAGGCAGATTTCTTCTGGGAACAGGGCAGGGAATCGCAGTGTTTACCAACTGTTAACATGAGCCATGTTCCAGGGTGTGAAGGGGCAGATGTAAGAGCATCAACTCTTGAGACTGTTGAACAGAAACACGTCATCAAACAGACAGGGTTTTACACAAAAGTCAGCTTGTTTTTTCCCTGCCTTGGATGACGCTGATAATGACAACAATATGCTTTTCTATTCAGGAAACTTGAGATTCTTCCTTTTTATTAGCCAAATAAATCAGTGTCCCAAAAGTGTATGTGAGAGTGAGCAGAAGAGCAGTGAGAAACGGAGCAAGGCTGCTATATAAAGTCTGTATGACAGTTTGACTTTCATCACTACACCTTGCTTTTACTCCTAGCTTTGATATTTCACATGCACTTGAGAAGAAAGTCTGAGTCTGGGAGCTATGGAGTGATTTCTGCTATTGTTAGTACAAAAGTATGAACATTGGACCTGCCTGCGCATTAAAAGCACACAGTGATATCAGATTTAAATTAACGTTCATGCTGCTTAAAATCTCAGATTTGAGGGGAAATAAAAGGGTTGCGGAGTGGTAAAAAGTTTCTTTTCAGTTACATTTGAAACAGTTTAGTTGAACTAAGCCACCTATGTCTACCATGTCTTTAATCCATTACAAAATTGAAACTATACCAACTTAGAAGAAAAGAGTTCAGAAAAGGGTGACAGTAAGCAACAGGCAAGTTGATCTACCAGTTTTCATTGCCCACATTTAGACAAGCCTCAGAAGCCAGTCGCTAGCACTCAGAGTAACAAGCACATTTTAGTTTCCTTCAAAGGAATAATAATCAACTGTAGAATTTGTAACATAGGTAAGGAAATGTTTTAAAATATGAAACCAGATTTTCAGTTGGTAGAAAATTGTTATACTGCCAGAGTTAGAAGGGTGATGTCACTTCAAGATTCTTAGTTTGAAACTCCCTGTTCAGTATTTTAAATACCACTGGTACCACATCTATTCTTCCACATTCCTAAAACTTACAATTAAATGGTTTCTTATCCCTATGGACCTGTTAGTCCTATTGCTTATGGTAACAGTCTTCCTGTTTCACTCCTGGCACAGGTAGCTGAGTCATCAGATGGCCAGGAGGTCCTCACTGAAGTCACCCCAGTGCCACCCTTTGCCTATGGTGTGCAAGGCCTGAAGCATTCCACCAACTACAGTGTTCGTGTGCAGTGCAGCAATGAGATGGGCAGCTCCCCTTTCACTGACAGGGTTTATTTCCAGACCCTGGAGCTTGGTAAGGACAGGAAAGTAGTTCTGAATCTGAAAAAGAGACAGTGATACACTTCATTAACTCCTTGCTAATTCTGAAATACAGGAAGTGTTACGCTGTCAGATTGTTTGTCCGCTCTAAGAGTTTCCTAGAACAAAATAATAATATGTAGTCAAATGTGGTTAAGGGATATGATGCATAGTACACAATTTGATCCAGCCATGGGGCTTCTTCATGCTGGTCCCATTAGCTCTCTCAGAGTCTGACCAACCTATCTTCTCTACCTGAAGTAAAAACAAAGTGCTGGTGGCTTGCAGAAGTTGTTCTCTCCTCTCACATTCTCTCTTCCAGCTGATCTCAGGAAGGAGAGTGAAACTGTCTTTTCAGCCATTATCAGTGTGGATATTGCCTTACTTTCCTGCACTCAGTGATTTTGTTCTATCCCCTGCTTTCAGCTCCAAGCAGCACTCCTCAAAATATCCATGTTATTCAGAGAGATCCCGGTCTAATTTTGGAGTGGGAAGGTGTGGCTCCAGATGTGCTGAAAGAAAATGTCCTGGGATACAGACTGGAATGGATTCAGGATAATGTAACTCAGGTAACAGATTGAGAAGGTAGCTGAGCCATTGGACGCAGACTTGGAGAATGTTCATATGAAATTTTCTAGGCACTAGGGTCCCTCATCCATACCAGGGGACTAGATTGCTGGCATTGCTTTTGTGTGAATGGATCTATTCTAATTTGAGAGCACTCCTCAGTATATGACCTCAAGATTTAGGGCCTTTTCTTCCTTCCTAGCCTATATAGAATTCCTTCAATTAATGTTCATCTGCAGACAGACCAGTGTTCTGCCATTCCTTGCACAAGAAGGACAACAGAGAGAGAATCCAGTTTACCTCTGCCTCCTTCTAGTGCCATCCCAAAGGCAGCTCAGACAGTGCAGGATCTGGATTTTCTCTTTCCTGTGACTGGGCCTTGGCTTTCCAAATCCTAGCAGCAAAGGTGTATTTAATGAGTGAATGAGTTATGCTGTAAATCACAGGAAGAAGATTGTGGATTCTTTTGTTTCATTTACAATATGTAGGGAGCTGAAAGGACCCTGACAGTGTAGAAGGCATTTTTTCTTCAGCATTAACCTTTCCCAGGTATCTCTCTGCCTTTGAAGTTGACAGTATTTGTTATGGTTTCTAGCTTATTAATATGTATATGGCTGGTGCTTATTAATGATGAACAAGACTGTAATAAGAGACAGCTAGAGGGAAAAGAGACTTATTTTTTTGCATGACCCATTTCATACTAAGTCAGTGTCATTGACTTTGAGTGACAGTATTTTGAGTTCCGCTAGAATTTACATTGTGTCAGTGGTGGCAGCCAAATCTTCATGAGTTTACTGCAGATAATGTGTATGAAGAAAATCCACAAAGCTACTGAAAATATGTTGGCCTTGTCATCCTAAGTGAAAGTGGGCCGTGAAATTTGGAAGCCATTTGGGATCTGGTCAACAAGTTAAAACAGACAGACGAACTCCTCCCTTGGATTAAAACCATCTGATGCTTTACAGTATGTTAGCGCATCTTTGTGTTTATACCACAAAAAAGAGGCACATCTTTTAATAGCAGAAAAAGCTACTTTTCCATAGCAACTTGCATGGAAGGGCCTCAAAGGAAGAAATCATTAAATCTCATATCTTCCTTACGCCCTGGGAAACTATTAGCAGTTTTAGGGAAGAGAAACCCAAGATGACAGACCAAATTAGTGGCAAAACTGACATGAGGACCCAGGAGTCACAATTCCCTTGTTATAGCACCAGTGAAATCCACAGTAACATTTTGATTTATTTGTAAAGGTGAAGTTTTACACTAGATTCCTTTTAAGACATCTTACACTTTGTTGTCATTTGCACTCAGGGGGAGATGATTGTACAGGATACAAAAGCTAATCTCACAACCTGGAATCCTCTCAAAGACCTGATTATCAGGGTGTGTGTGCTGAACTCTGCAGGGTGTGGGCCCTGGAGTGACCTCTTCCTGCTTGAAGCCCAAGAGGTCATGGGTGAGTGTCCACTGCATTCCCTTCTCTTTGGGGAAAACGTTGGAAGTGTTGGGACTGCTGTTTGCTCTTACTCCTCTTCTTTCAGTGCTCACAGCTGACTGAGACACGTGGCTTTATACAACAGCACACTTCATCAAGCAGATTAGAAATTCAATAATCTTTAAAGAGCTGGTATAAACAAAACAGCTTCTGGCCACTGCTATGTCTTCTTTAACAGGGTTTTGCTGTGCTTAGTGCAGAACAGGGCAAGGAGAGACACAATGGAAAGGGTGCAAATGAAGGATTGCTGTCCTTAATTTAGGCGTAAGACACACAGATTTGCAAGAGTGAATGTGACAGACAACTCGTCTAACATAGGTTCTCTTGTTTTATTTAATTTGAAGCCATTCCTGACCGGTTTCAATTGAGCTTGATTTAAACCATGGCCACATGGGGGTTTGTAATTGTTTCACTGAATGCGTTAATATTAAACCAGTTTAGCTGTCTCCATGGGAAAGCTGAGTTACTGGTGGAAGAGGAAGATGGTGGTACAGAAGCTGTAGCATGCAATCTGGACCATGTGGAAGTAAAGAACATGCACCTGGGGTGTGCATTCCTAGTGATAAAGGGCAGTTAGGCTTATCTGTGGTGATTTGCTTGCTGCTTGTATTTCACAGTGAATGGGAAATGGGAATCAGGCTATAGAGAATGGCAGGATGTTACATAGGGAGATGGGCAGAAGGGAGAGAATGCTGCTGCTTGTGAAGAAAACTCTTAAACAACTAAGAGGAAGATGTTCCAAATAAAGATATGGATATGTGAGGTGCAATCATACAAAAATCCCACAGTCTCCTGAGTTTTTGTGCCCAAGCACCTGTGGCAGGACAAGACAGCAATCTCTGATCTCTGATGCTGGCCCATCTGCCACTTTCTTCCCACTCCATATGCCTTTGATGAATCACATGGACATTGATCTCTCCTGATCCTTCCACACTTAGGGATGGCAGAGGGGAATTTAAAGTGGGGTTCCCAGGCAAGCAGGAGGTGAGGGATAGGGTTAGAGTAACCAATGGAGAACTAACTGTAGCCTTACTTGCAGTAGTGTATCTAGTGCTGGTTTTAACGTGCACTTTGGCAACCCAGCTCCTGTAGTGAAGTCAACACTGATGGTTATGTGTGAGCACAGAGTCACTGTGGGATCAAAGCCCTCAAATTATTTAAAGCAGAATGAAGGGGTGTGGAGGCCCAAAGCTGACCCCACTGAGGCTGATCATTGGCTCCATCAATTTTTTTTCCTCCTGTTTTTTGATTAGGTATTTTCTGTGGCATCCAAATACAGAGAAAAATACCTGAAAGGACTAGGAGTTCCCTTTGGAAAATGGCCATCACTGGCAAGAAGCCCCAGGGAATGTATAGGATTTGCATTTTACAGTGAGCTGAAATGGTCTAATCCTGAAAGCATTATGTGTTGTCGTTTAGTTGTTTTTATTTACAAACCACTTAAAAAAAAGTGGCATCAGGAGTGGAGCTTGTTTTGGCCAAATGCTGTCTGAAAGCACATATATTTCTTCACAAGCGTAACAAGATGGAAGTAAAGGTTCACTGACAGGCCTTAAACAGCAGAGCTGCAGAAAGACTGCAGTTTTGTTTCAGGCCTGGTAGAAAATATAAGTTGCTTCGTTTCCTAAAATAGCAAACTGGCACGGGTTGCTTTAAGTGAGAAATGCCAGGAGTGGTTTCTGACCAACTCCCAGTGCAGCAATAAGGATGACTAAGCTTGTATAAACTTTAAGTTGAATTTGTCATCACAGCAAAGCTAGTGGGAGCTCCACCCTGCTTATGCAGAGATCTTGTGCACTATTAACAAAGATTGTTTTAATATTTTCAGAAACATTTTCAGTAGAAACCTTTCTCTTTCATTGCAGAGCAAGGAACAGAATGGTTTAATACCTTTTTAATATCTGTAATGCTCATGATTGTAGGCAGGAGAGGACTCTTGGATTACATTCCTTTTGCACCTTTGAGATACAAACTCGCTATGAAACAAAAGGGCCCTCATCATTAAAAGGCTCCTAAATACTCTTTTAAACTAATCTAATAATACTGTCGTCTCTCTGCTTTGTGTAGTCTTAAGGAATATGCTGGCTGGAAAAGGGAGTGCAGGAGATGGGAGAGAAACAGAACTGAGAGAGGAGAGGCAAGTCAGTCTTTACTTGGGCTGTGGCCATCTTATCAAACTCAGTGACATGAGTGGGAAGCAGCGATCTGTGGGGCAGAGGAGGAGAAGCAATGAATTTCAACATTCATTTCCATTTCTCACATGTTTGCAATAAACTGTGGGCAAGGTTCATGATCCCCATCAGTTTAGAAATAGGGAGAACAATTTTGTTTTGTTTTGTTCTGTTTTGTTTTGTTTTGAGTCACCCTCCTTTTGGAGGGACTCCCTGGAAGGTGACCTAAATCCCTGCTCTCTCACCCGGCCAGCTAACAGAGACTAGAAAAAGAAGCAAAGAGAGGTTTGTCTCACCATGAGGGGAAGGAAACATCATTAACTATCAAGGAGGACCTTCTACATCAGAGTTCTTAGTTGTTTCTACCCTGATTGTTTGGCAGAAACAGCTGAAGTGATTGGCTTGGGAATTGTGGAGAGGGTTAGAGTTACCTTTATTGTATTTGAGAAATACAGCTTCTGTTTCTGATCTCTCCCTCATCTTAAGCAGCCTTCAAGGCTGGGTCGAAAGCTGCAGCAAGAGGGAGTATCATAAAACCCAGAGCCTCTAAAGCCTTCTGGATGGGTAAAGAATATGTGAGTCACTGAAGAAGATAAGATGCTTGAAAATAAGTACTAAAGGTCTGATAATTTGCTTCAGGTGGAGGAAGACTGGCCTGCTTCCTCAATGGTCCAGAATTCTGTTTCCTTAAGCTCTACTTGTTTATTAGACTAAAATTGATGCTTTAAAAACTTGGATGATAAGGCTCATCAATGTAACTAGTAATCAAGCCTTAAAAGCCTCTTGCCTGCCAGACCTCTGCCAGTAAGGGTGTCTGACTCCTTTCTGTATACATCTGTGCAAAGGTTCATCCAGATCTCAGCCTCTTAACCTAACACCTCTTTTAAGGATAGGTTTACTTGTGCTGTCATGCCCTAAAACGTAATAGGATTACCTACATCATCAAAGATGATTCTTTGTTCCTTAGATTCTGATAATGCACAGTCAGCCACTGAGGGTGAGCAAGTAAGAATGAAGGAGGTGATCAGGGACCTGTTACCTTTTCATGTTTGCTCTTAAACAATTCAGAGATATGAAGGCAATTCTAGATTTCAATGAACTCATTCAAATTCACATTTAATCTTTAGTAATTGCATTTGGAGAAGAAATCTCTCAGGGAATTGGATTCATTTATCTGTTGTTTGCCAAGCATAGATAACTCTTTTTTATTCATAATCGTATAGCTCATCTTCTTTCCCTGGCAGATTACTCAGATTGGCAGCATCTCCATTTCTTCTGCATTCAGTTTGTAGACAAAAGTATAGGAATTCTGGGAGCAAATATTAGTTCAGAATTGGAACCTGTAGCCTGACTAACTTATTTCTTGACTCACAGGGCACTTTTAAAAATTTAGCTTTTCTTTGGTAGAGAGACATTGAGAACCAAACAACATTGTGAAATTATAGCTAATGCTAAGTCCTTCAGGCTGCTTCTCTTTGTGAGAGGGGCTAGAGCAGAAATGTTAATGTTTTTAACCAGATTACTATGAGGCCATTGTCTTTCTCTATTGTCTTTCAAAATGTTATCTGGTTGACATTCAGGCAGTACCGAGTAGCCTGATCAAAGTTCTTGTGGCTGCCTCAAACAGGACAAGGTGAAGCCTGCACAGAGAATGCTCATATTAAGCAACGTTTTTGTCCTGAGATTCCAGTTTAAAGCGCCCCCAAGCTCATGTGAGCTCGTGTAAAGTACTATAATCTGGTGCAGCGCCTTTTACTTTCTTGAGGCTCAAAACTAAGTATACATTCTGGAAACTAGATGCATTTGCTCTGCCTTTGCTATATGAAACAACTAATTTTCCTGATGATTGACTGAGTAGCTGTTTATGCCAAATTCCAGTCTACAAGGATCTGCTGTGAACACCAGGTCCAGCAGCATGGCTTTTCCATTTAAAATCAAAAAGAAGAAATAGCCCTGTATGATCTGTTTACTATTGACAGTCTTCTATTTCCTGACTGGTGTTTTGTCCATCATGTAGGTGGCCAGAGACAACCTCCTTATGGGACGTCCTGGGTTCCTGTGGCATTGGGCATTCTCACAGCTCTGGTTACAGCTGTTGCCCTGGCTCTTATTCTTCTTCGAAAAAGAAGAAAGGAAACTCGGTTTGGGTAAGGTTCTCCTTGTGATGTTTAGAGAGATCTCTGCTTTCCCTTCTAGTGTGGTTTCTGACTCAATTAAAAGCATTACTAGACTATAGAAATATAATACTAGATCAAAGTGATTCTTAGCACTGCTGCTTAAGAGATTCAAAGAGAAAAGACCCACAGATGAAGCATCTGTATTCTTATGGGCTGAGCCCTTAACCCCATCCTGGTTTTCAGTCTAGCAGCTGATTGTAACTTCCTGTTTGCCCTGAACCCTCTGGATCCCCAGTAAAGTCTCCTTTCCATCACCTCTAACACTTGGCTGTGGGTTGCTCCCTGCTGCAAGCAAGGTTCCCATTCTTTTCAGAGTCTCCTAGACCTCTCTCTCACAGCAGCATCTCTGTTTATATGACTCTTGCAACCTGCCCCAACCTGCAGCTTCTCCCAGGCACCTGGGAGGAGCGATTTCCCTGTTTGAAAAGCTCCTACCCCCTCTGGGTGCATCAGTAAGGCAGCATAAACCCATAGTTCCTCCTCTCCAGCTACACCCTCTTTAACAAAACAGTCTGTAGTATTTACAGGGCAAGACGTGAAAAGTCATCCATACTGTCCAACACACCCTTTGAGAAGTGAATGGCCCATGTAATCATGGCCCTCCTTGTCTTTTCTGCCTTTTAGCCATGCCTTTGGCAGTGTGGTTGGCAGAGGGGATCCAGCAGTCCATTTCAGAGCTGCCAGGTCTTTCAACAGGGAGGGCCCAGAGCTCATTGAAGCAACATGTAAGTAGAATGACCTGAGTGATTGTGTCTGGGAAGCTGTGTGATGTGTCTGGGAGTCTGAGTGATTGTGTCTGGGAAGCTGTGTCCATGCATGTACTATGCTCTGTCTTTGTTTTCGCTGAAACTGATGGTTTTGGATCAAAACCCAGGGATTAATTTACAAGGAGTCTTAGACATGGTAAATCGCAGAGGTGAAAGGCCAGAATTGCTGTTGCCATACCAGTTACATAGCACTTGCTAATTACAGCTACAGTCATTGTGTATAGTAGTGCAAGGCATAAACTCGCCACTCCCGTGCCCCAGTTTCACACTACAGGGACTCCTTCCACTGGAATATTATGCAACAGTGAGATAAATATGGCTTAACAATATTAGCAGTACACTTTAAACTCAGTATGCTGAGCTGTGCTACAAGCACAAACCAATTAATCAGTCTTGAAAGGCCAGGAATTAGTAACCTCTCAAACAGGAGATTGAGTCCCAGGAATGGCCAGTGTTAGGATGATCCATTTCTGGCTCCTGGTTCAGCAAGGGCATGGCTCTCTCCCAGCAGCACTCATAGCTGGATTAGTATGATGCTCCAGCTGTCTTTGACTTTGCTCCCCTGGGTATACAGGTCTCTCCATTAAATCTAGTGGCCATAAACTGTTGGACACTGTTACCTTCTCAGCCAGGTGCTGTGAGACTTGTACTGTACTTAAAATAGTCTGAGAGACAGTCATTGAAAAGTAGTGCAGCTCCATAAACTTAAATGAAGCTGTATGAACCAGTGTCCCTTCTGATTAGATTTTTGTCTTCTGAGCTTTATTTACAATAGTTCTATATTCCTGTTGTTCTTGGTGTGTTTAAGGGTGGTGTTATCACACCCTCTCCTTTTAAGTACTATTGGTACATTTTGTCGTGGTTGAAAGTTACTGGCATTTTGTCTGTGGTGAGGCTAGAGGATATAGAAAGGAACTCTGTCTTTTTCAGGCTCCTGCTTACAGTATGGGAATCAGATTGGAGATGGAGATTAGAACAGGTGATTCTTGATGTTGTGAGAGAATTTAAGTATCAATTATTTGACTCTTCATTTGTTTGGTTTGGGTTTTTTTTCCAGTGGAGAGTGTAGGGATCAGTGATGAATTGAAGACAAAGCTCAAAGATGTCTTAATCCAGGAGCAGCAGTTCACCTTGGGAAGAATGTTGGGCAAGGGTAAGAACCAAAACTGAACAAGGCTTTACATTGAAAATCCCACTTGTGTTAAGAAACAATTATAAGCAGCCTCTTCTCTTCTGCTTGTAGATGGCAGTATAAATGGAACTATCCCTTCCGCTGGGATAAAATGTTTCAGAGGTTTAGCATAACTAAGAGGATATTGGCTAAGCCTTTCCTATAATATGGCTCTACACAGTCATGAACTGCAGTCTATGCTCAGCTTTCCAAAGTACTGTTGATTCACTGGTGTGTGACTTTCTTTCAGAGATTTAAACAAAGGAATATTCAATTAAGCTTCTGCTTTTTCTATTAAAAAAGTGATGCTATAGAATTCCTTCCATTTACATAAGCACGAATGAAGTATTAAACAGACTGAGACAATACAGAGACAGAGATGATCTACCTCAAACACTCCAACCCCCCAGAAAAATGTTGATTCAATTTCAGGTATTGTCTTATGTGGTTTGACTCCAGATTTTAGTTCGGGCTTTTATAAAGGCACATTTGGAACAGGTACTGAATTTTGCTGACTTTTGTCCTCATTAGTTCAAGTCTTTAGGAGTGCTTCTGACTGTGGATCTCCACCTGGATGTCACACACAGGTGCTCCTAACATTTCTCTGAGGTTTTGAGATCAGAAGGGATGGACAGAGCAAAAACGGGATTCTTCTCAAACTTTAGCTGAGAGATTGGCCCAGAATCTCTGTGTGAAGAGAGGGGTTTGAATTTAAATTTCCCAAATGGCAGGTCAGTGTGCTAACTGTTGGATCATCCTTCCCTACTTCCCAGTCTGAAAGCAGTCTCTAGAAATAATTGAAAATGTGTAAGGATAAAACCAGTAACAAAGATTGAAGCATAAGTCAGGGGTCATAAGCAAAAGGAACCTGAGGTGTTTGTCTTCCTTTTTCTTTATAAGACTAGTTTTATTGTAGTTTTCTTTGACCCTTTCCCGCTGAGAACATTCTTCCACTCCTAAAACAAATGCCTTTCTTTCAGAGCAGGAAGATGGCCTTCCTGCAGAAGTGGTCTGAGAGAGATTAACAATGCTAAGTTATTAAACACCTGCGTTATCTGGTTTTAAGTGTCAGCTCTTGGCCAGTTTCTGGCATCCTGCTTCAACCCTTCTGGGCTGTCCCCATGACAGGTAACAAACTGAAATGGGCTGCAGTGTGGCCCCAGGGGATGGCCTTGGTGGGAGGATGCCAGCTGGCAGGATCTGATCTGTGTTGTCAGCCCCATTTCCACAACACAAGGAGGGGCAGGCACTGACCTCTTCTCTCTGGCAGGACCCGAGGAATGGCCTGAAGTTGCATCAGGAGAGGTTTAAGCTGGATATTAGAAAATGGTTCTTCACCCAGAGGGTGGCTGGGCACTGGAACAGGCTCCCGGGGGAAGTTGTGGCAGCACCAAGCCTGACAGAGTTCAAGAGGACAATGCTCTCAGGCACATGGTGTGATTATCTGGGACATCCTGTGCAGGGCCAGGAGTTGGACTAGATGATCCTCAAGGGTCCCTTCCAACTCTGATTATTCTGTAATTCTGTGAACCCCACACTCAGTACACATAAGACTGCATTATCTTGGGCTCTGCTGACTCAACAGCTGTGCAACAGCTCCATAGTATGGAAGCAGCACAAAATGCCTTTGCTCCTTCCCATTTTCCTCTTTTGTGGTCACTGTTTGTGGTTATTGTGAAGCACGTGCCATGCAGTAGTGAAAGACACTGGTAAAAAGCTAGTGGAAAGATAACAATTTTGGGGTAGGTGTCCCAAGTGCCATATTTGGCTTCCTTCTTTTCAGTACCAGAGTTCCTCATACTAATACATTTTGGGTGGAGTAAGCAGTTACAAAATTAGGGAGAGCAAATCTAGAGCCAGATCTAATGCAAAGAGGCTATTAGGCTGTGGTATAAAGCCTCTTCAGGCTAAAACAATCTGAAGAGGTTTTGGCCTGTTGCATTTCCTCTTATCTCCCTTAGAGAACACACCAGGGTAAACACTTCCTCCTGTGAATCAGCATATCACACACAAGTAGGAGTTCCATGTTTTCTCTGGTCAGTTGTGATTCATAGGAGTCACTCCTTGAGTTTTGAGAGATAAGGCTGATTATGTTTCACATGGTTGAGTCCTGGCTCCATCATTCAACTCCGATGGCTGTCAATACTGAGAGCTTCCTCAGCCAACCCATCTACTTGCTGCTCCAGCTAGTAGCCCCCTCCCCTCCCTGAGACCAGAATCTCACTCATTCCTTATGGTATGGCTTTCCCAGAAACATGTGCCCAGCTTAAACTCTGTCTCTACATTGTCTGTCTGGACAGGAGTTGCTTTTTCCCCCTCTTGTTTGCCTTCTGGACTGCCAGCACCGTGATCTCTGTCTACTGGTAGTGCTACCGCTTCTAGGCACATATATGCTGAAAGCTGCTGTCTGGAACTGCAGAATGAAAAATGAAGCATTTCTTATGGTTATTCAGCTTATTTGTCAGTGACCCCTGAAATGAAACTGCTGTGAATCATCATTTCTTCACAAGAAGCTGTTCCCTCACTGCCTGCTCTGGTCATTTCACAGGGGAGTTTGGGTCAGTTCGAGAGGCACTACTGAAGCTAGATGATGGCTCTTTCCAGAAAGTAGCAGTGAAGATGCTGAAAGGTAAGTGGGAGCAGGGCCACCTGAACTACTTAAGAGAAGAGAGCTTGGAAAGATTAAATGTTGTCTGTCCTGTTCTCAGAAAGCATCCCCTGATATTCTTGACTCCTCTCTCAGCTTCCCACTCAGCCACTCTACCCATGTTGTCTCCCATCCCTTTCATGTCAGTCTTGTGTAATGGAAGTTCTTCAGGGAAAGACCTATACCACCTTAGTTGCTTCTGCAGCACTTAGCACCTAGTGAGTTCAATGAAAACCACTATATCATGTGGCACAGACAGCTCAAACAGGTCTGCTTTGTCCTAATAATTCAGCAGTGAAAGACAGCATTCATCCAAGAACATATCCTGGCAGAAACAGAAAGTGTTTGGGCTGAAAGCAGCGACAAGCTAACTCATCTCAGGCACATTCGACTAAGTAGTCAGTCTTACTCCCTTCTGATTTGTCATTTGATGAATGTACATAACAAGGGCAACTAACACTTCATCAGGCAGAAGTCTGTAACAAGAAAAGCAGTTAAGAGATAGGTATGTCAAAACAAGTATGTACATATATGTCTGTTTATATAGGTTAACCTCTGTTATTTCATCCCTGTTGCCTGTACGGCAAAAAATAACTGTGACAGACTGAAAGCAGAGTCACATTCACTTATCTGTGGAGCTGAGTTTGCTGCCACAGAATACCAGCTTGTACTAAATATACTAGTTTCACACTAGTGAAAGCTGTATCATTTTATCAAGTTTCAGCAATAATTCTGATCAGTTTGCAAGCTTTTGTGTAGTCACTATCTAGCTTCAGGCATCTAACTTGAGAACAATCTGCCAACCTCCACAGGCACTTTCCTTTCTCCATTGACTGTGAAAAGGGAATCTACTTTTGCCTTCTGATTCATATTGAAATTACTTGCCTAAAGCAGGTAATGTGAATACTCTTCTACAGCTCTGAGTCTGATCTTGCAGCAGGACTGGAGGACTCCTGCTAGATTCAGCAGCAGCAGTGGGGAAAGTAGTCAGCTGGGCTAATTCTTGACTTTATTGCTGTATTTCCATAAATCTGGAGTAATAGCAATGAGAAACAATTTACTCCAAATTTATGTGGATGTATGTCACTGCTGAATTTGGTCCAATCTCTCCAGCAGTGTGATTATTTAAGAAATCTTAGCTCTAGCAACTTAGAAGACTCAATCATACTATGAAACATAAAAGCATAGATATTTCATGCCATCTTTATCAGAGATCAGTTGGGGTCTGCTGTGCCAGCCAAGGATTCCAGGCCATCTCCTCAGTTTCAACATTTTCTTTTATTTGTGTGATGTCTCCTCTCTCTGACATTGTAGTTTAGGTTCTCTAATTAATTCTTACATCTTTAACCCACACATGATTTGCATGGTTTCCAAGGAAAGTTCTTACTGAGGAAAGTGCTGTTAATCAGCAGGTCTTCACTCTGTCAAGAACCAGCTTACCAGATGTCCCTGATGTGTGCTTACTGCTGTCCATCGCAGGAGAGCGTCAGGCTCTGCTTTGTTGTAAAATGGCTTATTTAGCTATAGGTCTGACAGGATGTGCTGTGCCACAAAGAACAAGTTTCTGATAATCATTATTTGTAAAGTCCCTTGGAGCCACCCACAAAAGAAGAAAACTTACAGTCACTTTTTCCAGCGGACATCTTCACCTCGACTGACATTGAGGAGTTCCTGCGAGAAGCTGCGTGTATGAAGGAATTTGACCACCCACACGTCACTAAACTGATTGGTAAGCAGTGCTGCTGCTTGTGCCATGGAGCACCTCCAGTTCTTGCACAGTCCCACACAGCCTCACGTACTCACCCCCACTGCTGTCCAACAGCAGTGCTAGTGCAGCCAGCTCTGTGCTGCCTGGAGTCCTGCATGGATCAGCATTGCTCCTTCCTAGGCCCAGAGGGAGTTGGAGTGTGTGAAAGTGCTCACAACACTTGCCCTCACACTAGTAATAAGCATCTCTTATTTAGTTCATTTCTTTGATTCTTGCAAATACATGAGAGAGACTTTAGCTGGCTGAGGTATGTCTAAAGTGCTGTGAAATGTGGACAGGTGGATTGGTAGACTACAAACAGAGGGAGAGAAGATTGTGCCTTTCCAAAATACTGCATAAGAAGCAAGACATTTGTGGGTAGGCAATTTCCAGAATGTGGAGATTGCTCTGCAGAGCCTGGGTTATGGGGCTGTCTAGTCTGGAGAGATCCTAGAAATATTCATAGCTGCTCCTGCAAGGAGGGCTGAGAGGCACTAGGCACTTAGTATTGCCTCTGAAGTAAACAGGGGTAGAGGTAACTTTACACCTTTTGGCATGAAGCCATGCAAACAAGCTTGGAACATGGAATCTACATGCCAAAACTGCACGTTTTCATCCAGATTTGTAAGAGAAAAGCACAGCAGCCTGTAATATTCCTCTTGGGAGAGATCTGTTTGCTCACACCCCTTTACTGTGTGTGTCCTCATCAGGAGTCAGTCTACGGAGCCGTCCCAAGGGTCGTCTCCCAATTCCCATGGTGATCCTGCCCTTCATGAAGCATGGAGACCTCCATGCTTTTTTGCTGATGTCACGGATTGGGGAAAACCCTTTTGTAAGTCTGTCTTACTGTATAATT